AAATTCCCACTTCTCCTACCCACTTCCACCGCCCAAGGTACTGCTACTGCTTAGCTCCCGGCGCGGTACCTCCTCCTCCTCCTGTCAAGCCCTCTGCAACCAAGAGACTGCTGCTTTCTTCACAAGTACCGCTACGCCTCCGAAGTTGCAGTAGTTCAACTGCCATAGTTGATCTTCCCTTGATAACGCCGTTACAGAGCAGAGGAGAACTTGCAGCTTCATCCTTGACGCCACACGAACTCTATCCCCTCTTCTTGTCTCGCTCTGCTGGGTGCTATACTCTTCGCAGTAACGGCTTCCTCATCCACTTGCCGGCCCTTCAGTTGGTCTGTACTACTACTACCAAAGTACTGCTTGCTCCAAGCTTCTCGGTAAGAGGGTCGAGGCGCGGGAGGCTCCTTGCGCTGCCGTGCCCAAAGGGGGTCCTCTCTTGTGCATATTGCGGCGGCTTTTGATATAATTGCCGGTCTGTGCCATATCAGGGTCCTCGGCCTTGAGCTGTTCAACCCGCCGATACCTTACACGACTCATATATACGGAATCCCTCCAAACGATCCTCACACAAGCGAGTCTCGACCCAATCCTCCTCGTGCACCCATCATAGAGAATACAATGGCCGTCCGACCATCACCATCGCGGTGTCGCGCCTCCTCGCGCCAGTCACGATCCTCGACTGCTGCCAAGGGCCGAACCATCGACAAGGGTCCATCTCCCAAGCCAGATTCATTTGTACGTCCAATTGCTTTACGCATTGTCCCTTGTTACCAATACTACTGCAAAGAGTACATGGTCAACTCTGGCTAACAAGTTGCTCGTCCTCGTCTTCCAGCGCTCCTTCGCCAGGCTCCCCGCCGAGCTCCGCCTCAAGATCTGGGCGGCCAGCCTCCCCGGCCCTCGCCTCGTGTCCATCCAGTGCGGCAGCAACATCTCGTCCGTGACCAAGCCCAGCCCGAGCATCGCCAACGCCGGATGCACGTCGCCGGCGCCCATCCCCGCCAGCCTGCACGCCTGCGCCGAGTCCCGCGCCGAGGCCCTCAAGACGTACCGCCCCAGCTTCGGCTTCTTCCGCGCGCCCGGCCACGTCCTGTTCAACCCGGACGTCGACATCATGTACTTTGGCCCCCGCGAGGGCTTCATGGCCGCGGACTCGCAGTTCCACACCTGCATGACGCTGTGCGATCCCGCCGTCAACGACGCCCTGTTCTGGACGGGCCCCTCGTACAACTCCCTCACGGCCGCCAGCTTCACCCTCGAGCTGCTGAGGCAGATTGCCATGCGCATGACGGGCCTGCGGGAGCTCATTTTTGTGCCCTGGGAGGACGAGCTGGTGGTGGACGAGGCCGTCGTGCACGAGCGCATGGCGAGGCAGATCCAGACGGCGATGCAGAGCGTCACACGGCTGTGTCCGTCGTGGCAGCCGCCCCCGTGGAGGATTGTTCCCTTGAACCAGCTGCCCAGCCCGACTGGCTGAGCCAAGGCCTTGTTGTGTTGGATTCGACCCAAGCACGCAAGGATTTTGATATTCCAACAAATAACGGAGACAAGACAGCGACCCGTGTATATACACGTGTACGCAGGACATGTCACGATACGCAATCGAATCTCGAGGACGACAGATATGACTTTCTCGAACCGTCACAACGCCAACTTTTCAGCTTCATGCGCGTATATATACACACGCAAGCATTGAGCGAGAGAGAGGGGCAAACTTAGGCCGATATGCCTCCTGTTTCACAAGGAGCAAGCATCTACGTATTATGATGCTACCTAGGTATATACTACCCAAAGACAGCCGCAAGGAGGCACTCGTCGAGCTGGAAAAAAAGTCTAACTGCCCAGAGTGGATGGGCAATTCGCATCGACAATCATCCTAGAACATGACATGTTGTCTGGGGCAAATCTGCATAAAAGCAACCTAACTTATGAGCTCTTTCATCGGGTCATTCAAATGTCCCTTGTTGCAACGACGAAAATAGGGGGAAATGGGTGCGAAATAACGATATACCGTAACGCAAATCGAATGAGGGTGGATAACCCAACTTCCAAGGCTTAATATGATAATGTAATAGTATTAATCAAGAGAAGAGCGATTCAAGGAATCATACCTCGGTCAATCTATCAATCAAAGAGTTCGACTCTGATTAGATGTACAGAGGCAGCCGGCCAAGACGCAATGAGCTCTAACATGTGATATATCCTACCATGACAGCTCGTCCATATCCATATCCGTATCCATACCCATAACCCATGCCCGTGTTCCAAACCATGAATGCACAATTCCAGTCCTTTCAAGTCGAATCAAAACAACAGCGAAAGGGCATCTCATCGAGTCGTGGAGTCGTTTCC